TGTGCCCGGGGGAGGGGGGTAATTTTTTTTTTTTGAAAAACAGATTTTTTTAAGTGGGTTAGAACCATTTTACCTAAACCATATTTGACCAAATTCATATTACCCATATTTTATTGGCAAAATTACTTAACTACACTCATTTACTTACCTTAATATTCATTTATCCCTTCTTTTTTCAAAAAACATCAAAAATCCCTTAATTCCCTCAATTAATAAAATCTTCAAGATACATAAAGATTTCACTCCTTTTTTACAGCCAACACCCACGTTTCCCACTACCCATTTCACTCTTCCATTTTATCCCTAAAATCTCTCCACTTCTTTAGCAGTTACAATTTTCAAATCCATTTTGATTTTCAAAAGGAGTCTATCTCAAGTTTATCGGTTTCTAAGTTTCTAATAGGTAGGAAGTTTTCTTCTCCATTGTTGTCTTCTTCTTGTTTTGTACTGATACATATGGAATAGGGTCAATCGCTTAGTGCTGGTGTTTCTCAAATAAATTCTATTAATAATAATCGTACATATGATTCTGACGATGAAATGTGGGCTGAAAATAGATCTAAGCGTTTGCATGACCCATTAGCGATGAAGGACAAGAGTGTTGTCAAGCCAAAAACAAAGGTCGGAGAAACTCCAAAAAAAGGGCGAAGAAAAGCGGCATCTGTCATTTCCCGACCCACACTTTCTAAGGTATGTGTTTAAACAAAATTTTATGTTTTTATGGATTTGTTATGTATTTGGTTATGTTTGGACAGAAATAGTTTGATACATTCATAATGAAGATACATTACTTCCTAATTCAAGGTTTGCATAGTATGTTAGACCATTATGGATTTTGTAATCGATTAATTTTGTGTTTTGCTGATACATTAAAACCCTAATTTTACATTGATGCATGTGGTTTGTTTAGTCGAATTAAGAGTCATTTAACAATGAAGATACATCTCTCACAATTTCTTATTAGTGTAGTATGCTGTTGATTTTGTGTTTTCACTATACATTAGACCTCTAATTTTCTGCAATGTATTGTAGTGATTCTATTTTTAAATGTATCTCAGATTCATAATTTTTTATTGATGTATCTTCAATCATCATTTTTTGTACAGTTTTGAAGGTGTATCAGATTATTTTAGTGCTCCATTAATGTATCTTTCATTGTGTTAGAGTCCTATACAATCTTTTCATGATAATGATTCAAGTATTTTGTTGGTTGGATTGATGTTAAGATATTCATGTATCTTATGCATTGTACGATGTGTTTGATATGATGTCATTATAAAACTATGATGTATATACTGAATTTTCAGATTATCTTCAATGTATCATTCACTCTTAATACATCATGTGGTTGAGATTAGACAAGTACAATTTTATGTTTTGTTTTTTTTGAATTTGCAGGGCATGAATTATGTTATCAAAAAAATACCAGCACATCCATTGAGATTTGGAGCAGTGTTCAATTTTGATTTTGCGATTGAAATCAAAAAGTCCATAAAGGAGGAAGGCGTTGAAATGTTCAAGAATACAATTTTTGGACCATATCTAAACATTCCAAAATGTAATTTTCAGGGTCAGATTACTAAGTGTCTGTTGTTGTTGGAGGTGCAACATGAGAACAAAGACTTGCTGCATGTTCGACATGCTAATGAGACTGTATTGCAGTTTAGTATCAAGGATTTTGCCATTGTAACTGGCCTTAAATGCAAAGGAAATGTTAAGGATTTTTCATACCCAGGATCCACTACGAGCCGGTTATTACAAAGATATTTCCCTGATGCAACTGCAGGTATAACCAAGAGTCGCTTGATTCAACGATTTCAAATGGGCAATTGGGAGACCACAAAGGACGCCATTCAGATGGCAATCTTATACTTTTTCCATACATTCATGTTATGTCAACTTGGTGAGACCTCGATACGGATCGCAGAATTTCTAATGGTCAAATATGGCAGGAATGAATTGTATCATTGGGGTCAGATTGCATTCGATAAGCTAATTACATCACTCAGGCAGACTTCAACCTTAGCAAACAGATGTATCGTTTATTTGGTATGCCGTATACACTCAACGTATGGACTTACGAATGTGAATCTAGTCTAAATCCAGAGTTTGCTATTAAAGTAGCGAGTGGTATTCCCGGGATTTGTAATTGGAGGGTCGTGGCTGTAAAGCCAAAATTTGGAACGTTTATGTCCAGCATTTTTTCCGAGGTAACATTCATTTTAGATTTGCAAATAACAATTTTTCAATAACCTTTCAAATTTTTGTTGTAAATAACAGTTATTCTAGGATACACACTATTGTCATAACATTCAACATTTGAACGGCGAATTCAGAATGCATGTTCAAACATTGTACCAACACCATACGAAGTAGATACCCTTGATTTACCTGATATTCAAGATGCTCATACTCCTGAACCCTCCACAACATCAGTTGATGCAAAGAAAGTTCAAACAAAAGACAATTCAGGTTTTGAGGATTTCTCAACAAGCCCTCTTGGACATTTGTTTAGGAGATCATCACGTGTATCTGGTACATAATCTCCACCACCACCCAAAAGGATAAAGAAAATCGATACATCTAAAACAAAGGTGTTGAAACCTAAATCGTCAGAGCAGTTAAGGCCGCCAATAAATCAATCATTCTCAATGCCAGATGAAACACCTACCCCGGCTGCTAATGTATCTTTTGTCCATGTCTCTTCACAAGGTCAAAAAGATAAGTATGTATATCCCGATATTGAAGAACTAAAACAACATATGAAGGATTACGTAAGTAATGATATCAATTTTTTTCAAGTTTATGTATAAATATAAAACTGAATGCTAATTCTTTTTTGAATAGGTTGATAATAAATTTGAGTATCTTGTGACTTTAATAAAGGCAAACCACACTGAGTTAATGAATTCCAGGCATAAGGAGGACGACCAGCAACCAAAGGTATTGTGTTGTATATGTGTTTTGTTTGTGTGTTTTAACTTTCATATGTCATTATGTTCTAAATTTAATTGATGAAGGATTTGGCCGGCAAGTCTACGTCGTGCATGGTTGAAGTTTTTGATAAAGAAGGCAATGATGGACATCAAACAAGTACCTTTAAGTTTGATCAACAACCAACCTCACCAATACAAATGGATTTTGCCAACAATGACCAAAACGTTGGTGTATCTAATTTTGTTGTTGAAGATCAGATTTATTTTACTATATTCATTGCGTATATCCAATTAAACAATGTATCAGTAACATATTTTACTTGGAAAAAAATTTGTTTTAAAAATACAATCTGAAGATACATTGAAGAATCATCAAGAAATGAAGGACATTTCAGAACTTCAATTCTCATCCTCAGATGAAAATATTCATCAAACTGCAGAAATAACTAAGCATAAG